CAAATTAATATATAAGTAGTGTGCGTGTGTACGTACAATGGACTAAGAATAATTATTAATGGTAGTGTAGTTTGCTTCATACTTCTTACCACACAGAACTCATAAAATTTGCAATTGATGCACAAAATTATATCTTTGAAACTGATCGAAATGTGCTTTCCAAAATGGTGACTTCGTTATTGTTTTTCCTCAGTGCATTTCTAACAGCTCTTCGTATCTCTCCAATTCTCCAGCAATATACAAGTGGATTCAAGAAGGAATTGATGAAAACAGCAGTAGTAACGTAGTCATAAACGATTTTCATTCTAGTTGTGTATCCAGTAAACGACTCCACGAAGATCGTCACAAAAAGTGGAAAAAAGAAAAGTAAAAGCAAACCATAAACATAAAGTACAGTTATGGTCGATTTCCTGGACTTCAGGACGTTCACATCACGTCTTTGGGCAATCCGCTGTTGCTGAGATATCTGGCGCTGATGTCTCCGAACGATCTGGAATATTTTCCAGGTGCTGAGGGCTGTAATGAGAAATGTTATCAGTAGAACGGCTACAGGGACAAAAAACCAATTGCTTATCCAAAACCTCAATAGGACGACAGAGGTTGATACTACCCAGACGACTACAGCAGTTAGCATTATTTTGCGAATAGTGACAAGCCCGTTGTATCGTAAATGGAGGGTTAAAGCGAGAAGTCGATCAATGGAGATTCCGCTTAAGGTCGCCAAGGACACGCCAATTGTTGTATAGCTAGATATGCTCTGAATAATTCTCAAGGCACAGTAAGCGTCAAAATCATCCGTGAGTTCCGCGATGTGATAGGCCACGAAAGATGGCTGACAAACCAGCCCAACAATGAGATCAGAAGCTGCGAGGCCGGACAAAAGAACGAAGGATGGCGAATGAAGTTCTTGTTTTTTCCAGATGACACGGAGGATGATCACATTACCGGTAGATGTTAACAGAGAAAACAGTACATTTAGAATAGATGTCAGGATACTTGCCACTACGGTATTGTGTGTTCGTTCCAAATTAACGCTTAGAAAGAAGCAGTTGGGTTGAATGTCGCTGCTTCTGTTCATGTTGTAGATGAGCCTCGTTGAAATGCTATAGCTCTCAAACGTATACGTATCTGTTCTGTTTGGACCCTGCAGCTGAAGCTTACTAGTCATATATAATTTATACCTGCCATAATCTTTGGCTCGTGATTGGTAACCGAGACGCAGTTGTCTTAGTTGTTTGCTTAACTTCGTAGGAAGAAATTACTGTGCAACTCAAACTGTCATCTGTTATCTTCACACTGAGGACTCTTGATCCACGGACGAAAATAGTTTTTGTGTTTATTTGTGTTTACCTTATTATGACCTTGTCTCAACCTAGCCAGGTTTTGGCCAGAACTCGAAGAAACAACTAATAAATTTTATTTAACACTCTCCCTCGTTTTTGCTATAAAAGGAAATTAAATTGCCGATGAAATAACTGACAATGCCGGTTGTTTGGTTTATGTAGAAATTGGTAGGAGGCATGCGCACGTAGACAATTACACAAAGTGGGCTCCAAGCTAGCCTGGTTAAATAAACGAAAAAAATATGAGCTGATATATCAGGACTAACTCAAACAACAAACCTAAAAATAATAATTAAAGAAATACCCAAGTTTGTCTGGAGCTATGTTTTAACAACTGGAAATGGCCTCTAGGATTTTCGATGCGTATGCAAATTTGTCAGGTTTGGTCAGGTCGTTTTACTCAGCGAAAACTTTAAATAAACAGAATAAATGGGACAAAAGACTTCAGTTAAATAAATGCTACATTTGCTTTTGGCAGGCAACAGATCTTTTCATTTTCTTTTGTGGGTGTCGAAATTTGACACACATACATGATTTTTGCCGACAATTCGTTTGACTCTTGTTTCAAATTTTCACTGCAAATTGTACACGTTATTTGTAAACACATGTCACCACTACACGCGCTTTAAAGAAAAACCAACCTTGAAGAAATACAGAACTTGATTTTTTGGAGCGTTCAACGTTCTTTTAAGTCACTGGCACGAGCTTCCCCAAAAGATTAATCAGCCCGCAATGAATAAAACAATTCACAATGTCCTTTCATTGCTTCGGCAGTCGTCCTGATGTCCTGCATGAATTATAATAATTACAATAGTTTGTTACAGCAAGACATTGAGTTCCAGTCCAAACCACAGGTGTTTTTAAGCATCTAAAATTACTGAAGACAGACGGAAAGAGTAAAATTAAAATTCTAACACAAAATCTCCATACATAATTAAAATATTCACGTACACGTACAAGACGAAATGAAGCAAACTGATAAAATCAGTTGCATAGTTAGATAGATTGAAAAAAATTAGTTGAAGATAAAACAGAAAGTATGGAAAATAAGTTGGAGGTTATCTTTTTTTATCACGCTTTTATTGCTTTCCAGTTTGTCATCTGTCGTCCTTTAATAGACGACTTATCACGTACAATGCGTAAAACCTCTGGAGTGGCCATTTTCTTGGTGAAAATTAAAAGTTTATTTTTCAAGTGTCTGCCTAGAGAATATTCTTAACTGTGATCTTGAGGTAATACACTATTCTTAAAGAGGATTTTCGTGAAAAGTTTCATGCAATACTACACAGCAGGTTGTTAATTGACAGGGCTCGGTGCCCAATTAAGGTGAGTGACTTGATAAGGAAAATCCGCTGTGAAGAACTTTTAATTAAATCTAGTCACGTTGGGGCCAAACCACCCCCAAATGTTTCGTCAGTTCTTGGGTATTTCACATTATTTCGCATTACTTAAAAAGTATTGACTCTTTCTACACCAAACTTGGCAGATGAGCAGGAGACCTATTGCCAATTATATTTACGTGGGTCCCTCCCTTGAGAAAAATCCCCAAATTGGAGCCGTAATTTTTTTCCAGCAAATGCAGCTATGTTGCACGTGTGATGTGCCAGATGACTAAAACAAAAATAAAGAAGAAAATCCGAAAAAAATCATCCCTCTAGTGTTATTGCGTTAAAGTTAGTTTTGTTATGTCATAACCTGTGACGTCACCCGTTTTTTTTTACTGTTAATACCGTCCTAACAAAGCCGAAAATCAAATTTCTAAAACCATACGATTTTTGACATCAAGCTTTCTATTTTTCTAGACTGACTTAAGAAGGACAGTATGGTTAAGCAAATTCCGGCGGGTGGGGACAACAAAAAATATTTAATTTACCATATCTCAAAAAACAATCATCATAGCAAAAAACGGTTTCCGGCATTTTACTCCTCAAGTCAAGGCCTCTCCAATGACATAATCTTTTTTATCAGAGTTTACAAAAAATTATAGCACATTTTGGTGACGTCATCAATTATGACGTCATAATCTGACATTTTGTCACAACTTCCAAATTAAAATAAACTGGAGAACAAAGAAAGCTCATCTGCCAAACTTCGTTCAGAAATATATAAACCAAGCAAATATAGCCTTCATGAAACATTAGGGGGGTGGTTTGGCCCCTACGTGAGTTTTTACTAAAAACCTGGTTTTGGGAATACCCGGACGGAAAATGACTATTCCGCCCTCACGGAAAAAGAGCTGCGAGGAAATGTTTTAAAATTTAATAATGATTTCACGAGAAAATGTGTATAACTTGTCAAACTAACCATGCAACAAAAACTAAGTTTGCTGTTTGCATGTTCACGCTATATCAGGTGAAAAAACTGTCAAGACCACATGTCAACGAAGACAATGATGTATGTGTGTAATAACAGTACAAGCCTGCCGCACTACCATCTCGTTAATGCAGCCATTGGTCTCAAGTTATTTTTACGGTCTCTTGTTGTACAAGTAGCTTAAACGACGTTGTCCACCCGAGAAAAAATACCTCAGGTTATCGCTTTGTAGGACTCAGCCAAGTGTGTGAATCTGGGGGAACTCGCACTTCCTCGACAAGGAAATTTCGAATTGACCGTTCCTGGTTAACTCGCTTGGACGGATCTTGGACGTGCTGTTTACCTTCTAAGGTTCATTGTTATTCTTTTAAAAATGTTCTTGGAGTAATGGAGCAGGGGTGGGATCAGGGGTGGGATCAGGGGTGGTGGTGAAATCCGGCGGAGGAAAAACACAAAAATCCAATTTTCATTCATAGCTGGACGAAAATGTTCGAATTTGTCAGTCTCAAAAAATTGTCGCAACAAATGACAAAAGAGCGATTAATCATCCTGGGGTGGAGCACGAAATCGTGCCTTTCGCTAAATCAATCAACATTTACCAATTTTGTCAGCTCTAGAGAGATATAAAAATTAATGGGCGTAACTATGTTAGACGCTTGCAAACTTAGACGCGCAGAGGAAAGGATTCCATGATTCCTCCAATTTAAAGTTATTTACCCTTAAAACATTTCTAATAACGTTAACATATTAACTATTTCGATGAAGTTCGACTATTCAGAAGGCCAAGTCAGCGCCCCGGTAACCGAACACGAATGCAGTAAAAAACCCGCATGTAAGAATGTGAGTTATTGGCAATTTAGGTTCAGTAGGTTCTTAATTAGGTCTTTAATTTCTATGAAGGAGATATTTGTTGATTACCAGAAAAAATAGGTCAACTTGGGTTTGGCCCTTAAATATACAGTATTCACAACTCTATTATGATAAGCCTAGCACAACTAATTACAGAATGTATATTTAGTGTTGCCTCTATAACAAGAGTTCATGATTTAACTTTAAGAAGAACCAGCTTGAAGTTGCTTGGCAAAACGGGTTCTTATATTTTTGGATTTGAAAATGGCAAATTTCTGCCTGCAGGTTCTTAAACCACTGGGTTCTTGTACGAGGGTTTTCACTGTACTCCACCAGATCTGATTACTCTACCTGATCATCACTAAGCTAATTAATGAATAATAATTTAGAAAATGATTAAGCATATGAGAAGTCTTATTAAGAGAACTTTACTTCCGTGGCATTCATAGCTTAACATACATTTTCTTTCACTATTGATAGTTTGTTAAATTTGCA